AATCAAAGAAAAGCCAATGAAATGAAACAGAGTCAATCACATGACCTATGACATAATAATTGCATCTAACCTCCTTTCTTATCTGTGAGTGGTGAAGTAGGGAATTGGTGAGAAAATGAAAAGCAATAAGAAACACTCCTGCAAAAGTCATGAATAATTCTCACAATTTAAAGAGTAGCTTAATTGTTCAACAAACTATTAACTTATACGAGTGGCCAGCCATTTTTTGACTAAGTAGTACATATTTGGGAAGACATTGGCTTTCTAAAAAGTTATTAAGATTTCTTAGATATTGTAGATTATACTGATATAAAAATACATCATTTGTGAATACATGTAATGGAGATATATTGGGTTGGTCAAAAAGCTTGTCACTAGATGGCATTAGGAGCACTTAGTTTTAATTAATTTCTTTAAAAAATTGCTTTTGAGTGTATTGTAACAGCTCTCATATTAGCATTTATTTTTTAATGTATTTTTGTTAATTAAAATGAAAGAAAATAAACAATATTCATTTTTCTTTATTTTAAGGAAAGTAAAACTGAGATTCAAACATACAAGATTTGTGCAGTTAATGAAGAAGGTACTGTAAATGATTGAACATATCCAAAAGTGATGAGATGTTGGAGATTTCTTACTTAACAATCTTCTAGTTGTGCAGACCAATTAAGGTTGATAGAAATCAAATCAAGACATTACTTGGAAATAATCAATGTTATATAACATGGGAGATATTCTAACATACGTATCTTATTTTCAATCATTGAAATATCATTTGTATTACCATAGCTGAGCTAGTTGCTTAAAAATTATAAAAATCAAAAGTTTGACTTCTCTTCTTTATACTGATGATGTTTTTTTAGTTTAAAAAAGTGTCTTTGTTAACTTTTTTCAACACTGAAATGCAATGGGCACATTTCAATTCATTTCATTCTTTTGCATTTGCCTAGATTGAGAAGCAAAAGAAAGAAAGAAGTGGCCATGTTAGATAAATAGATTTTTTAAAAAATAGAACCAAACGTGGAAATCTTCAATGTTTGGGTGTGCCTTACTGAAAATTTATCTAATCTTATTTAAGGATTTAAATTTATCTTATCTTATTTAAGGACAGGAAAAACAATGAATATATTGAATTGCAAGAACTTTAGAGTGAAGATGTTAAATGTCCAATATTTGCAGTGATTTATATCAGCCTAAAACAAAATCATTATTTGTGGCATACTGATCAACCAAATTCCAGTCATCATCAGTTTCTTCATGAATGAATATAAGCAAGGTGAGCTGACATTGCTCAAAATATAATAATTTAAGAGTTCAACCACACATTCACTTTTATAATTAAAATGCCTGAATAGTATCATTAAACTAATTTCCACCAGCTTCCCTGAATATTTCATATACTATCAGATACATTTGTGCGTGTGTGTTCAAAAACAAAAATACAAAAGGCCTGTTGTGACCTTGGCATTTTAAAAAGATATAAGACTGATAAGAGTTAGATAATTTTTTTTTTTTTCAGATCAGCCAAAGTCTTTGGAGTAGGATGAAGAAACATTTCCCTCAAGATAAGAGAGCAGTTACTAAAGGCTTCCTTGAGAAAAAATCCCCAAAAATGCAGAATTTATCAACATGGACATTTCCTTTTTAAAAAAAAAAAGTGTGAAGAAGGTGGAATGTCACAACCATCAGATGACAATCAATTTATTCAGAAATATACTGTCTTTCTATTCTGCAATACTTTTTTCTCATACCTAATTTTCTGTTGTTTCTTTTATCATTGCATTCTCTCCAGACAAAATTTCTCTGCTTACTCTACAGTCTCTTTCTTTCACTTTCTTTCAATTCCCTTTTTCTGATCCCCAGCATTTTTTAATTCCTCCTCTCTATATAGACTATCAACTATAGGCAAAGCTACTCTTTCATCCTTCCATTTATATATTCGTCCTATCTGTTTTATATCCTTTCCCATGCTACCTTTCTCCCCAATATATTTCTTCCTTATCTAATTTACATCTGTTTCAAATTCATCCTCTCCTTCTCTACATATTAATTTTGCCTCTTCTATCTGCATGATCTCTTTTCAATTATCCACCCTCCTTATCTTTTGCACAATCTGTTCTACATCTTTTTTCTCACTCGCCTCTCCCAAAAATATATTCTTTCTCCTTTTTTCTACTTTCAGATTTTTTTATTTTATCTCAGTCCTCCCTACCATGCTTATTTTGTTTTGTTTTTTTACCATATTATTGGAAAATGAAGTGTTCATGCCTTAGGACTCCCCAACTGACATTGCCACTCCACTCTATTCTTCATTATTTCTGACGGAATTAGGAAAGAAAATTTCATTAAATTTTTCCTCTTTCAAGGTATTATTATATATAAAGGGTTGCTAAAAAGTTCTCAGCCCAATCAAGAAACACATAAAAAAAAATAAAAATCTGACATTTGGTCAAATTTTGGAAAGTAGGTTGGCCTGAGAAGTTTCCAGTATTCTCCTCATCATGTATGATATTATCTGAAAATCATTTCATATAAAGATTTTAGTTTTAAGGAGTGACTCATATGCATATTTTCTTTCTCTCTCTCTCATCCCAATTACTTGCTATTCTTGCCACCTCTTCAATTCTTGATTTCATTTTCTTCTCACTCAATATCCACTTGTTCAATCGGCCATTTTGATTTTTCTTTTCATTTCTTTCATATAAAATTAAACAAGTTCCCAAAGTTAAGCAATGTTCATCCAAACAAAGCTATCTGACTGATATTCACTACACTCAATTCTCTTTTTGAATGGGGGATATGTTCCAGAGACTACCGTGTAAAAAAATATAGTGTACATTTGAAAATTAGAGATAGGTTCTATCCAAATATATTTAATAAAAAAAAGGTTAATTTTCATATATGAATAAATTGAATTTTTCATATATAACATAATCATTCAGTCATTCAGTATCACTACTAGACAGTAAATGTACCCGCTTTCTGTTGCTTTTTGATGACGCAAAATCACTTGCATCACTGGAAATATTTAATGGCAATATATCTTCATGTGTATCTTGAGTAAAGTGATATTTTGTTTTTGTTAGTTCTTCATAAAGTGCCATAATCATTTTCAAATCATGTTGGAATTGCACAGCTCATTCAACATTGTTATCATTTGTAAGAAAATGATTTCCAAGATTATTGGCTATTTGGATGCCTTCTAGAATTGTACTTGCAGGCAGTGGAACCACTTCTTCATCATCACAACTATAAACTAACGTGGAATCATATACATTCTCTGAAATACTATGTATGTACAGAGCAAAGGTCCCGCCCACACCAGAGAGTGGGTGATCACTATACAGAAAAAATAGATTGGATTCTATTTTATTTCACTAAATTGTTACTTAATCATGTTATGTAGAGTTTTAGTATTTTGTAAATTATAATTGATTGATGCTACTTAATTGCTTACTTGTCACTTGCAATAAATTCTTTGGTCACACAAGGACAGATGTTTAAACCATGTTAAAGTAAAAAAAAAAATAGTGCACAAAAATAATTGGTTCTTTTTGTTGGACTGTTATTTCAAAATGATGCAAAAAGGGAATTGAGTGTTTGTGTGTACTTGGGACTTTTGGGTGTACTTTTAAAAAGAAAAATGGGTTAACTTGGGCTACTAATGAAAAGAAAGTCAAATGTAGTGTAGTTTACTACTTGCGACCCAATCAGTATCTGATTAACAAGTAAGAGTGGATCACTTTTATTTTGTAACCAAGTCATAAACAGATGTTTTATAAGCTTTCAATGTGGCAACCTTACATTCAAATTCACACAAAATGGCTTAAGTTCATAAAGGGTCATACATTCACTGCTGATAATGTAGCAAAATCTTACCCTTAGTAGACAACAGGGCTGATCTATTGACTGAAAAGTCAAATGGTGAAATAGACAACTGGGCCAATCAATCAGCCCAATAATACAAGCCTCAAGATTAGCTGGCTGGTTTTCATACCAGCCAATCAGATCGCTTCTCACATTTCTTGCATATCTGGGCCTTTCAATGGTGGTTTCTATGATAGTTTGCTGTGTTCTGTGATTTTATATTGATTTTTTTTTGTGTTCCAAATGAGGGCTTGTGAAAAGGGCTCCAACTTATTGACACTGAAACTCCAAATGTGGCTCTGTCCCCAATGGGTTAAAGTAAAAAAATAAGAATTTCAGCATGATCCAAAATGTCCAGTCAGGAAAGTTAGGTAATATTTTATTAACTGGGCAATACAAAATTGTAACCAACTGAGAATTCCAGGTACTGATTGGAAAGGAAATAAAAACATGAGTTCTAACCTGTACTTCAGCTTCTAGAAACATTTTACTTGCCTAAGCTGGTTTAAGTAGGAGTCATAAAACTTCTTTTTCAAGAATTGAAAGTACTGACAAAATTAGCTAAGGATTTCCTCAATTCCTAGAAACTTCTGCTATCATAAAATAAGCTGCTATAACCTTTTCTTGAAAACACATAAATGGAGTCACTGAAAAGCTTTGTTGTAATGAGTATTAAGGGACTTTAAATTAAACAATAGACTCAATGCACATGTATGCCCCTGAAAACATTTTGGTCACAATTTTGACCTGGAAAACAATGTTTTAAATCAAAATACATTATAATTTATTTAAACAAAGAAGCACTGAAAGTGCTATGATCTATAGACCCCAACAACTAATATAGAAGCAAGCTATATTCCCATCTCTTAATAGATTAATGTACTGAAATAATAAGAGTTGAAATTGCTTAAAATCTATAGTTATAGAAGGTAAAAATCAAGTGTAATAAATTGAACTTTGGAGGATATTTTCTTGTTGTATATACTTTCTTTCTTGTGGTAACAAGTGACACAAACCTGATCTCACTTTTGTATCCACCCTTTTAGCCTTTCTTTGGCAAACTCTTGTAACAGATGCATTGTGACTGGTACTTAATAGCAATGTAAATGATTTTACAGGAAAAAGCTACTTACATTTCGCAGCTGATCCAAGTTTTTCATTACATCATGTGAAAGTGAACCTAGAAAAGAAAATAATTGATAATTATTTGCAGTTAGACTCCCATAGTCCTTTTTCATACATAGGTTAAAATACCAACTCAAAATAGGAAAACTGAAGACAAATAAAACTATCAGAGAAATGCCAAAATCTATTCTTGCATCCTGAAACAAATTTCAGTTCATTTTCATGGAATTCTATATGCAGATTTTTATTTATATTTTTTAAGCAAGCAAGGCAATAAAGCCACTAAGTTGAAAGGGGTTACTGAGTGTGAAATATGAGAAAAAGAAAACATTATTAACAAGAGAGAAAGAACAGAGATTAAGACAGAAGATAACAATTGACATTGCATTTAAATTTTTTGAAGCTCAAAATTGACTGGAAAGCAATAAACCAGAAGAGATTTCCACAACCAAGAAGTATGAGAGAAAAAATGTTTTTTTAAAATTACAGTTACATCTAACCATTTCAATTGTAAAATGATAAAACCTTGCCACCAATTGTGCTTAAATTCATAAAGTCCAAGTAACAGAGGAAAATTCATCAGAACAATTACCATGAAAATATTTATACAAAAGGCACATGGAAGCTACATTACCATAGTTGGAAAGTGATTGAAATCAATATGTCAGGCCCAACAACATTTCAAATTCTTTGTTGTATTTTATCAAGAATCTCTAAATACTCAATGCATGGATGAAGGATAGACTTGTGCAAGATAGATTTTGATGAGAAAAATTTGTCTAGCACCACACAATGAATCGACTTTTCTAGCAGCAGACCAAGCAATTGATTCAATATCATCTTTTCATTTCATGTCAGCAGAAAAAATTAGTCAGAGTAGATGCAATGAGTCAAGCTGATTGAAGATAAAAAAAGGTTCTCATAGATGATTAAAAGAAAATAGTTTCTTTTAGTAAATGTTAAAATTAACAAGCCATTCCTTGCTCCAGTTAACAACAAATTCTAAGTCATTCATGAGATTAGCTGCCAATTTGATCTTATTGAACCAATGAGCCTTACTATTCAAACAGGAGTAAATAATTGTATCATCAACATAGATACTGAGTTGAGAACTGATATCAGGAAGGTCATTGATAAAAATTAAGAACAAATTAGGTCGAAGGATACTTTCAGTAACATCTAAAAAAGTGGCCATTCAAGAAAACTTTCATTTCACAATTTGTAAAAAAAGATTGCATCATTTTGAAAACTGGTCCAGAAATACCCTAACCTTTCAATTTGTGAAGAAGGCCAGCATGTCAAATGACTTTGCAATATCTAATGCAACAGCCTGAGCTTCACCATTCTTATCTAAAGCTTGATACTCTTTTAACAATAATCATTGGCAGTTGAACTAGAGAAGCAAAAGACATATTGCTTAACTGAAAGAAGATTTCTTTGAGATGAGATGCTTAACCAATTCCAAGTTGATTAGAGATTCTAGTACTTACCAAAAAGAGAAGCTGATAGAAGGATCAGACAATTTGCCAGAGTTCTTAAAGACTGGAACTACAGAAAAGGATTTCCAACAAACAGAAAGCAAGAAGCAATTTCAATAATCTCCAGATTATTTCTCTCTAAAGTAAGCAATAGTAAGACCAAAAATAATGAGAAAAAAATATTTATATTTTCTATAAAAAATGCATGTTAATTAGGACAAATTTGATTTTAGAAATAATACACAATACATTCAACTAGAACAAGAAGATTAAGTTGATTTTTTTATTTAATTGATTTTACACCAAGCAAGGCAGTAGAGCCACTAAGACACAAGAGATTATTGGGTGCAGAGGAATTAAAAAACAAAAACATTATTAAGGATCAAGAACAATAGAAGTGTAATCAAGAAGATGTTAGAAAGCAATTGATATTGCATTTAAATTTTTGAAGATTATAGTTGACTGGAAAGCATGGAGCTGGAAGGGAGTTCCACAAATGAGAAAAGAAACTGTTAGCATATCTAGCCAACTCAACTGTAAATTGGTGAGACCTTGTCACCAGTCTAGTACTGCGCTTATATTCACAAAGTCTACATACTATTTTGAAGAGTGATATTTATTTGTAAAAATTACAAAATGTGGCACAAGGCCAAAATGGGGAAAAGGACGGTCTTCTTCTGCTAGTCACAATCACTGACTCAAACATACCACAATATTCCTTACACCAAAACAACGCATTCTTACTTACCACTCTTACTACATCCACCATAATATGTACAATTCATTGTCTATGGGAGGAGGGGAATAAAACAACAATTTAAAAAATGTAAATCCCAATATAGCAAAGCGCTTATCCAAACAATTACCATGAAAGTATTTATAGAAAAGACACAGGGAAATAACTTTACTGCAGTGGGTAAGTGACTGAAGCCGAGATGCATGCTGATTCTATGAATTTTATCAAAGACTAGCAGCATGGCCCGGTGTTGCCCGTGCTTGATTCAAAAATCGCACGACTCATACAGCAATCGCTATCACTTGACTTAAAATATTTTTGCCCTTCCTTGCCTTTAAAGGAGTGCCCTTTGCCATGCTGATGTTGCTACATGCCTTACTTCTTGCCTATCTCACACTGCAAATTTTTTCTAAGCTCTATACTAAACACTAAATCTGTTATGAAAAAAGAACTAAACAAAATGAACACAAAACGATTGTCTTTAAAAAAAGGACTTGTAACTGGAAAAAAACAAATGAAAAAAAGAATGTTAACAACAAATACTTTTTCACACCTAACACAGTTCTGCAGAATCCGAATCAACGTTGAGTTTAAGCAAGCGAATGAACCAATTGGAGTAAAGTGCCATGCAGATTTAAATTTTTCCCACTTGTGACGAATGCAGCTATCAATTTCTTTTGCATGCTAGCATGCTAGTTAACATTCATGTCAGTCAGCTGTTGGCTCTCACGCTGGCCAATAGAATCTTCCTGCCTATTCGTGGCAGCCAGCTATAGGCTCTCACTCTGGCCAGTAGAAAATGGCCACAAACTACATGAAAACTGCCATAGAAGCATGAAAAAATCGATTATTTCCACTATCAATGGGAGTTGGGAAATGCAAGGTCGGTCTTGGCCTTCCCGCTAACTTGGAGCAGGTGCATGTAAATTTTGGTGCAAATCCGTCAAAAATTGCAGCCGTGCATTCGTTACACACACACACACACACATCCTGCCTTTTATAGATAGAGATCTCTAAATATATAGTAGAAGCACTAAACAATATGTGGCAGTAATATTCTAAGCATGGATGAGTGGTAGACTTATAAATATGCAAGATACATTCTGAAGAGAAAAATTGTCTAGCACAACACAGTGAATCAACTTTGTTGGCAGCTGACCTAGCAATGGATTCATTATAATCTTTCCACTTCATGTCAGCCAAGATTGTTAGCCTGAGATGGCACAATGGGTCACTCTCTTGGAGGTTAGTATCAGCCAAGCTGATGGAAGGCAGAAAATAAAAAAATTTAAAACTACCAATATGGATTTGATAATATGCAAGTGGAATCATCCACAACAACTTCTAGAATCCTGGCAAAACCATCACAGTAAATAAATCTTGTAGGAAATCGATAAAATGCACCAAAAATCGTAATTAATCAAGACGGTTCCTCCGTATTTAACAACCTAGCTGAATACCTGGCCTATGGGCAGAGAAAATTAAGTTGTAATAGTTTTCTTATCTCTATAAAGTTTCTGTATAAACAATATTTTCAGCAAGACATCTATTTTATAAAATTCCTTTTGTCATTATGCTAAGTCCTATTGATTTTCCTACTCTAGACAAAGCTACATTGTGCTGACAATTTCTAATGTTTGTGTTAATAATATTAATAAAGATTAATTCAGTAAACTTAGTATTTTTTTAATTATTTAAACAATTTCATACAGTTTTAAAAAATCTAATTAAATAGACTATTTTGACTTATTTAGGTAATTTCATAAAATTTTTTCATGCTCCATTTAGCTAGTTGATTGTAATATGAAATGTTAAATGATTACTATGAATGCTGCAGGAAATCACAACATTGACAGGCTTAAAATTTTAATATTTAATAAAAATTATTTTTAGAAGCTAAAATTACATTTATTTTATGTTTTATTTAAATGTAAACATTTTTCTAACTGAAGACTGAATGTTGACAATGCAGATATAAATTCTTTCTATAGAAACAGCATGAATAAAGAAAACACCATATCAACAGAAACTTTAAAAAACTTGTTAAAATTTCAATTAAAAATGGAAAAAAAATATATTTACTAAAATATATTTTTTAAAATTTTTATGCAAATTAAATATTATCACTTATGCTGCATACACAATTTGTTAGTAATATATATAAAAGGCTGATAGTAAATCCATTATATGTTAGCAATTAGAGTTGTTTTATTCTACTGATGTAAGATAGGGACAAATGAAATTTAGTTTTACAAAAGTAAATAAAAGATGAATTTGCAGAAAGTGAATGAACTGGGCTACAAAACTATGTCTCTCCAACCAACTTTTTCAATCATCAACAATTTCCTGTAATAACCAAGCAACAACTAAAAATGACTTCAGAGAATTGGTTCTAGGATTCTAGAATTATATGTTACTAGAATAAATAGACAACAATGAGTACATTCTAATGTTTCTTGCTTTAAATTATTTTAAAAAAAGCTAAGATATATTGCTTTAAAGTTGGTTAAAAATTGCAAATATTTTTGTACCAACCTAATATATATTATTTGTTGATTGTATATTTGTTAAATGTAACTTAAAATATTAGATTTCTCACCAGAATTTATCTTGTCTGGTGCTTCTGATATTTATTTAGAGATTCTTAATAAAATACAAAGAAGAATCTGTAATGTTATTAGTCCTGACCTGGTATCTCGGTTTCAGTCACTTTCCCACTGCTGTAATCTAGCTTCCTTGTACATTTTCTATAAATATAGTAATTTCATAGTAATTGTTCTGATGAACTTTCCACTATGGTACTTAGGCTTTATGAATTTAA